ACAGATGTTTGAGCAGTACATCACAGACAGATGTTTGAGCAGTACATCACAGACAGATGTTTGAGCAATGCATCACAGACAGATGTTTGGGCAGTACAGCTGTGTACCTTTTTGCACGCCAGCGTGTCTCGGGCTCTCTGTAGCAGACTCTTGAGCTGGGGGGCAGTCGGCAGCTCCTCGTCGGTCCTGGGGCCCACAGCGATGCTCAGCAACTCCTGTGCTCCAAATTAAAAGCAGACATTCAGTTTAGTTAAAACCAAGGTTGATTTTTTTTCTTTTTTTTTTGGGGGGGGGGGGGGGGGGGGGGGGGGGATATGCCTTTAAACAGTTCTGATTAAAATCAAACTAAATGATCAAAACATCCTCTACTTATGTTAACTAGAAGGAGGCGCACGACGACGGCACTCGTCTTGAACAGAGTTGTCCTTGCGAGGACACACGGTCACAGCAGATGCTTACACAGATGTTTCATTGAAGCCCGGCTGCAAGAATCTGCACCGGAGTGTTCATATTATAAGATAATAGTTTATATGTGCTCATCAGCTCCCACAGGCCTGATGACCTCGACCTCCCCGCTGTACATGCAGGCTCCTCCTCTCTGATCGAGCTCTGAACTCACTCATGGTTCAACATTCGTTTACATTAAAAGTCATGATAATAAAGAAGATAGTTCAATAATAAAACCTAGAAATGGAAGAAACAGATTTTCACTGATTAAACTTTTAATCTGAAAGTCACAGGAAGTACCGTGCACAGGCGTGTGCAACCTTCAGCTCCACAGCCACATGTCACTGTTCAGCTCCTCTAAGTCAGACGATGAAATAAATAAATTAAAACCGGAGTTCACCTGCTCAAACATCTGCAGCAGAATTCAATAAGTAAAGTGGGCGGGACTTGTTTGTGTGAACTCAGTTTTAATTAAACTAGTGGACATACAGTTATTATGGCAGCTGTAACATGTCCACAGCCTCCCACAGAGAAGGTTGCTGGATTGAATCCCAGCCTGGGATGCTTCTGGGTGGCGTTCGCATGTTCTCTCCGTGCATGGATAGTTTTCATCCGAGTACTCCGGTTTCCTCCCTCAGACCAAAAATGTGCACGTCTCACAGCAAGGCCCACTACTCTCAAAGTCAGGGAACCAGTTTCATCTGAGTTGGACGAGGAGGGTTTATCAATCAGTTATTGGAGGAGTTAGCCAAAAATGAAGATGCTGCTGCTCATTCTGACCATCACCGTGTCAACCAGACCTCCATCAGGGACATTAGGACGTGCTGGACTTTGGCCTTGACATTCAATATCTGCTAGAGGACAAAAAGTAACTGGTGTCGGGTCAGGGTGCTGCTGCGGCGCTGGTGGACCAAGACGACACTTCTTTACTCCTCTCTTTACCAGCGTGCAGCTGAGAAACTGGACAAGGGTTGGCTCCTCCCCCTGCACAAAAAATGGCATGGTGCATGGGTTTGATCTCCTTGTGGAGCCGGCGGTCAAAAAAACTGTTGGTCTATGTTTCCAGACTTAGTCCTGGAAGTGAGATCCTCCTGGAACAAAGTGCTGTGTACCCGCCTCACGGCTCAGGAGTATCTCAGTAATGGAGACATCCTTGGCTGCGTATTGGCCCAACTACACAACCATGAGCGAGTGGCCATAACCCTTCCACACAAGCACTGCAGGTTTGCTGCTGCTCAGCTGCAAGTGACCACCGCTCGTGCTCGGAGCTCCATCACCGTGCTCCAGACGTATTTGGCCATGTGTCTGGTGGTGCGTCGAGGAGTCCTCTGGTTCCTCTCTTAAACGAGGTCAGGATGACCAAAGACTACATGCTCTGTGTGTCCAGCTGTGCAGCACTCTCCCTGGGCTAAGGGATGCCATCAATGCCTATGGTTGACACTTTTCGATGTCCCAGACAGAGACATCTACATGGATGAACCGGTGGCGGTTGGTCTGTTGATGTCATCAGACAAGTAAAATCAGAGCTGAGGAAGAAGCAGACAAAAGCTCTTTGCTGCATCACCCCCAGACACAATGCCAGACCCAAGTCCTACATGAGCTGTCTGCACCACCGCCTCCACCAGACAGTGGTGCTGAAGCCTGAGCCAGCCAGCACAGCCCCCGTCATTCGCTGGAGCAAGGGTCCTCTTTCAAGTCTTCAGAAAATATCAAGGTCTATGAAGAGGACACGGTCCCACTTTAGAATGGGACATCTCCAGCAGCCGCTCTCCTCAGTTCCTAGATGTTGTTAAAAGAAGACGGGATGGTTCAGTGGAAAACAGATGTTGCTGCCATACAGAAAAATCAAAGTGACCTAAACTGATACATCTCACAAGGTTTAGTCAGGTCCTCTGGCTCAACAAGAAGAATCCATCCAGAGGACCTGACTAAACCTTGTTAGAATTAGCCACCTGCATTATTGAGCATCTCAAATGATACGATTTCTTAATTTAAGCATTTGATGTTTGCCATGTTCCACGCAGTGTTTGGTCCCCAACTCAGTTTTTATATTGTACACAACGTGCCAGCTTTGGGCGTGCTGTAGTTTGTGGATCAGCGTTGCATTCTTGCAATCCTGAGATTCAGGATGGAGCCTAAGTTGCATCAGGAAGGGCATCCCGTGTAAACAATTGCCCATTCTTGAATGTGAGTGGTTGATCCCTGCAGAAAGGAGCAGACGAAAGAAAACACAACACAACGCCCCCCATCTTTCACAAGCGGACTTTAAAAGGTTTAATTACATAAAGGTTGTGGTTTTGTCTCAAGACTTCTGGCTGCAGCTTAGTTCTTCTTGTCAAAGGTTGAGACTTGTTTTCATTTTATTTTCATAAATATGGGGAAAAGTCTGTTCTGTATTTTTCTATACAAAAAGTGTCAATCCCTTGTTTGGCTCCATGCACACTTGAGTTGGGAACAATGACTGAAGTGGCACTTTTCAACATAAAGGTTGCAGAGCCCTGACGTAGAGTCTAATCTAATAAAGGTCAAGCATACCTTAATCTCAATGAGGATGTCTGAGGGTCGTGAACAACGGTGCTGACAGAGAGCAGGACAGTCCAGCACTCGTTCATTTCCTTGTTTTTTCTTGGGAGTTGTTGACTCGTCAGGATTCACCAGTTCAGCCACATCACCGTCCACAGGGTCTGCAGCTCCAGGGCTCCCAGTAACCTTCATCACACGATCGTACCGGCTCTTCCACTCTCGTCTTACCAGAGCTTCACACAGGGAACAAAAGGACATTAAGAAACACGTCCTGAGGGGGCGACGTCGTTTCCTTTTCAGTTAGTTTGACTTTTGTTCTCTGAACTTGGAGCACTGGGCTGAACCCACTCACGTTGTTTTGTGACGCAGAAAAACCTGGAGCTAACCTCACACTGGCCTCACCGAGCCAATGATCATGCGTCCTGCAGTCGTCAACATTTACCTGCAATGTTGGCAGAAAGCCAGCTGCACGCTTTTTCAGCAGCAAGACGTTTGGTGATGTTTTCAGACGTTGTCAAGACCTGAAGAGAAATTGTGAGATGAGTCATGAACATAGAACAAACCAGTGAACTCTGTGACTTTTGCTCCACTTGGTTTCATTCTTCTTTTAGATACATGAAGTTATTGATCTCGACATCACCATCGATGTGGTCTCATCAGCGAGCAGTACACGTATGGCTTCAGGACTCTTCTCATTGCAGTACCTGCAGACAGGAGATAAATGACCAAACGTTCTATTAAAGTTGTGAAAGCCTGCTGGTTCTGGATGAACAGACTTCTGGAAGGTGTTCAAGTACCTAGTGGCTTTGACCAAGGCCTCCAGACCAGCGTCACACAGCTGAGCACAGATGGACTCGTTCAACTTTGAAGAATTTGAGTTTGGAAACTCCAGTCCATCTCTGAGCATCTTCTCTCCTTGGTCTACCAACTCTTGCACCAACGTAGCTCTGTTCAAAACACCCAAAAAAAGATATACGTGAAGCAGATGAGCCTGGAGGAGTTCACCACAGTCACCATCTAAAGCTGCTGCGTCCTCCACAAGAACTAAGAAAAGGGCTCCATCTCCACGGCCTGTGAGACGTTTTGCTTCCCACAGCCCTGATTCAGGAGTTCTTGCAGCTTGTTCTTGACACATCATCTGGGCAGAACATTTTTCTTGTGTGGTGTCCAAGAACTATTCTGTTTTGTCAGAAGATTTGGAGTGGAAATGGTAACATACAAGCCGAGGACTTCCTAGATGTTCTGCTCACGACTTTTCCAGTGAAGTATGAAATGTCATGGCTGGAATCTGTTCTTGTTCTTGCCACTGCAAGAAGACAAACACTTTTCTCAGTTCTTGCAGAGTATGCAACAAGCTAAAATGCAACACGTTTAGCTCTAAGGGTGGAACTGCACTGGGCTGCAACGGTCAGAAAAAATAACTCCTGCAGGAGTCAGAATACAGCCGTACTACTCCAGATACTAAAGTATTGATTACAGATACTAAATACAACTAACCAGAGTTACAGGATGATTAATGAGGCAGTTTTTCTTCCCACTGTCGCCTTCATGGTTGCTCAATATGACAGTTCTGTGATGGAGTTGAACTCAAAGCTGCTCCTCAGATAAATAATGTTAATTATTATTTTATACATGAACGTTCCTGTTCAGTCCCTGAGACGACTGCTGTTGTGACTTGGAGCTGAAGAAATAAACTGAACTGATCAGTGCAGTTTGAGTCTCTCCATTCCAAAATATACAACGATGAAGGACAAGTTAAAGTAAAGGATTAACAGGATTACGTGATCTGGCAGTCAGTGACTTGAAAATCCATGACTCGTCACATGCCGCGACCTTCGACCTCTGATACTAACTTCATGTGTTTGACAGCGTTGGATCCAACCCTCTCGGCCACAAACTCCACCGTGCGGCGCAACGATGGAGGCTGATTGTGAAAGAAGGCTTGCTCCAGATCCACCTGTCACATTAAATCAGTTGGTTCAGACACATTCAAGCAAATCAGCGTCTTTGAAGACGTGCACGCTTGCTGCCAGCTCACCTGCAGTTTCTGCTGCAGTCTGTTTGCAGCCGGCGTGCCCTTGAGCTCAGCAGAAGTGGGCGTAATCTTGCGGATAATTCCTCCACTCCTGGCTGTGCTGCCAGACACAAAAGCAGCGAGGAGCTTACGAAACTCATCTGAAGGAAACAAGACACAACATTCATCCACTGCTTTTTATTGTCCAGCCTCGTCTCATTTATATTATTATATTAATATTATATGAATATACATATATACATATATAAATATATATATATACATATATATTTTATATACATATATATATATACACATACATACATATATATATATATACATATATATTTTATATACATATATACACATACATACATATATATATATACATATATATTTTATATACATATATATATATATATACACATACATACATACATATATATATACAGATATATATATTATATATACACATATATACATATATATACACATATATACATATACAAATATACATACATATATATACATATATATATATATGTATATATGTATGTATATATATGTATATACATATGTATGTATATATATGTATATACATATATATATACATATATCATGGTGCACTAAGATTCATAACTGGCTGTGATTATCGTACCCACCACTGCACCCAGTATTCACTGGTTAACTGGACATCATTAACTTCACACATACTCTCCCACTGGTACATTTTCATCTTTAAATCACTTCTTGGTCTGCTGCCTTCATACATCTCCTCCTACATGTCTCTGTGTGAGTGCAGCTACGGAGTGCGCTCTCAGGACATTATTACCTGCAGTGTTCCCTCAGTGAGGACTGAACTAGACAAAAGGACCTTCTCCTACTCCGCTCCTGTTTCCTGGAATATCTTACAAAAAGATTTGAAGCTCTCGACCTTTGACCTCTCTAAGTGGCTTTAAGAATCTGTTGGACTCCTGGCAGGGACCAATGCAGACATGTTCCTGTTTTTAGTTTTCTACATTTGTCTCGGAATCTAGCTGTTTTTTTGGTTTTGTTACCTTTTTCCTTTTAGCCATCCTATTTGTTAA